AATCTTAAGGGCTCTGGTTTGAATCCCCAACACACACTCCTCATGACTCTGTGTATTTGTAATCCTAGCATTAACAGGTGGAGACAGGGAGATACTGGGCCTATGGCCAGCCAGTCCAACCTAGCCAAAACAGTAAGTTTCCAGTGAAAGACCCCGAATCAGGCAAAAAGGCAGAAAGTGATAGCGATAACACCTAACATCCTCCTCTGTTCTTTGCATGTGTATTCACAAACATACTGGCATACTCAGATGCAAGTTCCACACACACACAACACATGAAAAGATAAGTCACTGGATGTCCAAGTAATTTCAGAAAACAGAACTGCTGGCTGGGTGTGGTGGTTCACGCCTTTAATCCCAGCCCTCGGGAGGCAGAGGCAAGAGGATCTCTTTGAGTTCCAGGGCAGACTGGTTGCTTTACATAATGTCTTCCAAGACAGCAGAGCTACATAAGAGAGTCTGTCTCAAAAGAAAAAGAAAAGGCACTGTTATAGGGTTATTTGGGTCCTTGTTTATAATTATCTTCCAAAAATAAGTTCATAGGTTAATGGAGGGGAAATACAATAGGAAGCAAAACAAGCTAGAACAGATATTAATTACTTTCCTGTATTTGTCCTTGGGATTTCTTTTCTCACAGTATTCCCTATAATAACCCAAAAGGGAAACCACTTACTATTTAAATTTTTGTCTTTCTTTTATTACCAACTTGCTAAGAAAAAAAAATGCAATGCAAAAACTTGAAAATAGGGCAAAGCTGCTAGCACCAACCTTTTTCTGTCACCATACTGACGCATGAGCCAACAAGTCTCCCAAGGGTGACCTCATTCACACACTCTGAGTAGCAGGAAGGAACTGAACATTCCATCTGCTTTCTACAGATCTTCAAGGTGACCAATAGATTACATCAACTTGAGGGGCTAGAAGAAACCAGAAGGAGAAAAATATTTTGTCATGTATGAAACTTAACTGTTAGTGTCCATACATGCACCCACATAGGAACACAGTCCTTGCCTGCGCCTTTGAGTTTCACAGGCCACTCAGTTTTTGCCAACCCTTTCCCCAAGCAAAAACTTGCTTGATTGTCTCTTATTGGTAAGGATTCAGCAATTATGGTACTAGGTATTACTTTGCAGATTGTTGATGTCACAGACTGATGAGAGATAGCTCAGTGCGCAAGGAAGCCTAATAGCCTGAGTTTAATTCATAGAACCCACATACAAGTAGGAGAGAAATGACTTCCTCAGAATTTTCTCTGACCTCCACGTGGTGTGTGTGCACACACACACACAAATAATAAATAAAAACTGGTGTCCTACTTTTCCTCAGTGATAGATGTAAATGGTATCTGTTGAAAGGAAAAGATTTCACAAGATATAAATTTATTGCCTTGTAGAAAATAGGAACCCAATTTTGTATTTCACTCTTTATTCATTTTTATGCTCATTGTTTCAGCTTATTATATTTCCTTCATTCTGCTAATTCTTTTATTATTCAATTAAATATATTTCCAACAAGGTTGGACTGGACTTGTTAGAATATTATGATTTGTGTTTGTTTGTTTGTTTGTTTTTAAGAGGAGTCGTATTATGTAACCCTGGCTGGCCTAGAATTCACTACATAAACCAAGCTGGTCTTATATTCAGAGACCTGCCTGCCACTGACTCCCAAATGCTGGTATTAAAAGCATGCATCACCACGCCTAGCTCAGAATATTCTGCTTTTAAATGTCTAGAAATTCAATTTGACATGGTCTTCTAGAGTAAATTACTTGACCTAACAAGATAACTCAGGGGTAGAGGCCCTTGTACGCAGAACTGGTGGGCTGCATTGGATCCCATTTCCCACAGGAAGCAGAAAAACAATGACTTCTGTGAGTTGTCTTCTGACATCCACATGCACAGCTAGAACTTCCAACCATCCTAATCACAAATGCGTGTGTGTGTGTGTGTGTGTGTGTGTGCGTGCGCACACACACACACACACACACACACACACACACACATTTTTTAAATAAAATAAACTTTTATTTGGAAAAATCCTATGGTTGCCATTATAATGTCAAATTGTACTGTTGTCCCTTTCTGTAATGTACAATGAGGGTAGCTGCAAGTCTCTTGGTGGGTAGACTGAACAAATAATACTTGACCAGCTTGTAAGAGAGTGTCTCATTTCTTAGAAGAGTACAGAAATATGGTTTCAATTTTGTTGAGAAGCACAAACATCTTCCCTGAAATGTAACACAAGCTCTACCACTGAGAAAACCTGAGTAGGCTGGGAACAAGTCCATCTTCACATACTTGTTGTAAAGTGTGTGAGATGCTTGAGTGTGACCTAAGTGTGAAGTGTGAAATGCTTGAGTGTGGCCTGCTCATGACAGATTGAAAGCCTGAAGGGCAGTCTAGTCTACCTCAAGCTTCTCCTGGGTCTAGGGATCTTTCATGCTTATAGGATCCAACTTGTCTACGAAGAACCTAGATATGCTGGCACAGAGTTTAAGATCCATGCTTGTCTACAGATTATAATCATTGCATCCTGCATGCTGTGCAATGGGTGCACACTGAGAGGCAGGCTTCCAATGGCCCAATAGACCCTTAGCAGAGATGGAAAGTTGCTTTCATCCATCAGGTATTCTTAGGCTCCTGACTTTGTTCAGTTTCCGTAAGTAAATTTATTTACTTTGTGTGTGTGTGTGTGTGTGTGTGTGTGTGTGTGTGTGTGTGTGTGTGTACATGCCTTCAAGCATGCATGAGGAGGTCAGAGAACAATGTGTAGAGTTGGTTCTCTTCTCCACTATGTGGGTTCTGATATCAAATGCAGGCCATCAGGCTTGGCAACAAGCTCCTTTACCCACTGAGCCATCTCACCACCCTATCTTGACCTAATCTTTCATATTCCTTTTGCTGTTATGTTTTAGTTTTTTAGCTTCTGAGGCAGTGTCCCACTATATTGCTCAGGCTGGCCTCAAACTGACAGCCCTCCTGCCTCTGCCTTCTGAATGCTAGAATCACAAACTGACACCACCACACCCAGTTTTCCATTGCATCTTATAACCTAAAGTAGGGTGATTGTAACGGGGGGGGGGGGGGGAGCTTTATATTTTGAGAAAACTTATACTCAGAGCAAATAATGATAAAGAGTGAGTCTTCATAGCTTCAGGAAGTATCTATATTCACAGAAGATGGAGATGCTGTGAATGGAATTGCACAGCTGTTGCCTTACTACTGACACAAACACCAGCTCTCACCTCATAGTGAGTATGAGGATTTATTTTGGATCCAAGATGAGTGGCCATGGCAGGGAACACAGACTTATTTTAACCCAAATATCACATTCCAGGACAGTAAGTTTCACTAAGTTTTCATAGGGGCAGAACAAAGAAAATCTTAAAGGATGTCACTTTGGATGCATTTGTGAAAATACCACATAGGTGAATTGAAAAGCAAGAAAGTCTGCATATACTAGCTGATGATTCTTAGCTGTGGGGTTGGTGGAACTAGCTTAGTACATTCCAAAACTATTTACCCAATAGGCAAATTATGATGTTAAGGCACACATAAAGTTAGGCAATAAATACTACTTAGTGGATTCAAGACAGCCCAGAATAATTTGGCTCAGAACCTCCAACTGTCCCACTCTCCAGTCACCAAAGTTCTGACTAGTCAATCAGCCTTGTAGAATATTATAGAGGTGGTACTTTTTCTCTGGGAACTTCAACTAACACTGATAAAAGGAAGAAGACAGTATTTCCTTCCTTGACTCCCAACCACAGAATAATTTGTAGCATTTGTATATCTCAGGGACCACCCTTAAGATAGCTATCATACAAGGTTGAAGAGATGGTTCAGGAGTTAGGAGCGCCTACTGCTTTTGCAGAGGTGAATTTGATTTCCAGTGTACCTATATCAGGTTGTTCACTATTGCCTGTAACTCCAGTTGCAAGCTGGATTCCACAGACAGACAGACAGACAGACAGACAGACACACACACACACACACACACACATACACACACACGTAAATAATGAAATTAAGCTTAAAAAAATGATAGCTGCCTCCCAGCACTTTGTTTGGGACAGTTTAGTCCATCAAAGGCTGTGATGAATCTTAGTGGAAAAGGGATGGGCCTCTGAGAATGAGTGAGCATCCAGGGAAAGGGCACTGAGATCAGAGAGGGTACTGCTAGTATTGCATCATGGAGACACAGGTCCTGACTCTGAACCCTGCTGTATTGTATGATGTCTTGGCATTGGAAGTTTTATTTTGATTTTTGTTTTGTTTCATTGGACTGGGGAATTGAAGCTAGGACCTCCCTAGATGCTAAACACTCCAGTGCTGGGCTAAAAACCAAGTCCTCTTTTTAGTTTTTGAGATGGGCGCTCACTATAGCTCATGGTGGCCTTGAACTCACTCTGTAGCCAAGTCAGGCTTTGAATTTGCCATACTGCTGCTTCAATATCAGGAGTGACTGGGATTACAAATCTGCACCACTAGGCATTGTAGGAAGCATTTAAAATGCCCCTTGCATGGTGGTAGCAGGCTGAGTGTTGGGCAGAGTCCTATTTCCTTAAAAAGCCTCCCGCCACACTGAAGATGAATAAACCAGTTTGTAAATCAGAACGCAGGGGGCGGGAATCTCGGCTAGCACCCTTTCAGCCTGCCTTCGCCCACCCAAAAGCCTGGCTGGAATGCGGCAGGGCCTGGTTTCACAGCCCTGGCCACCGAGGCAGCCAATTCGGTGCAGAGCTGGAAGTATTGCGCCACATCACGAAGTTCTTATTATAAAAGAGTTAAAAGACAAAGTGCCAAGCACATCCTAAGTGGCTTCATTTCTACCTTGATCATGGACCCGCCATCACGCGGCAAGACAGGAGAGTCACTGAGAAACCGAAAAGTCCGCAGAAGGGTCGAGAGGCGGGAACCTGATTTGAGGAGGAGGAGGGTGACAGGAGAGCAGCCAATCCCGCGCTCTCCGGGAGGAAGAGGAGGAGCCAGGGTCCGCGGGCCCCCGCACTGCTCACTCCCGCGCTGCGCCGGCCCCGCAGTCTCCTCCCGGTCCAGCGCTCCTGCTCGTAGACGACTTCCCCGGTGCAGACATGGCCTCGGGTGCCGCCTGCGCGCCAGTGAAGGTGAGATCACCCTACAGGCTACAGATGGGCCGGCCCTGCCGGGTTTCTACTCGCCCTTCCGCAGCGGCCGCGCCTCCCGGCTGTGTCCCCCCCCCCACCTGCGCACGGCGGAGGGGTGCAGCGGCGCGGCACTAGCCCCCAGCATACTCCAATGTCCTCAGCCTTTGAATTCATCTGCATCCCGGGCCTCACGGTGGTAGCCGGTGCTCTGGTGGGGGGCGATGGGTGAGTTGCTCCCCGCTGCCAACCTTCCTCAGTACCACTCCCCTCTGGAGATGCTCCAGGCGGGAGCTGACACGTGGCCCAGCTGCTGCGCTGCTCCCTCCTGCCTTGCTGGACTCTCGCTTCCGCTCTCTTGACTCGGCCCACGTGGGAGAGCTGTTCACTTGCTCTTTTGCACGCTGTTTCTCTCCTCTCCGTCCTCTACCCCACCCCACCACCGCGCCACCACCGCGCTCGGAACTTAGATTTCCCTTTGCTTTGTTTTACCCCGGTAGCGCAGAGGTGTGAGTGCTCCAAGACTTTTCTAAACACTGAAAAGGAGTGCAGACCTCAGGTTAGGGCCGCTCCATGCCCGGAGGCCTCTGTCTTTAAACTGCTTTGCAACCTTGAAAGTTAGAGTTATTTTCTCAGGCCTTGGGTCCCTAGAGAGCTCGACACAAGGGATTCTTGTACGCAGGGAACCGCTGGCCAGAAGAGAGCATAAGTTCTTAGAGTCGTTGTGAGCCTCCTGTGGGTCTTTTAAATACATCCTGATTGAAGGATAAAGAGTGGAATCGAAGAGGAAAACTGGTGGAAAGGGCTAAATCTTTCTAGGCTATTTATTATTAGCCAAGAACTCAGTTAACTTAGTTAGGAATTTCTGGCACTGGTTTCTCTCTTTAGATTCCCCGCAGCGCCGTTTGATTCCCTTGAAAGAGGCAAATCTCTGCAGTTAGTGTGCAGCCAACCTGGGCTTTCTATACTGGAGCCTTGCAGGGCTTCGTGAACCACTCAAAAAAAAGAGGAGGGGATGAGGATACAGGCTTACTGCCCAACTTTTTTTTTTTTTTTTTTTGAGGGGGGAGCATTTTGAAAAGGATTGTTATATTTATAGAAAGCCTCCAGACAGCGGGGACTATGCAGAAAGGCTCTTCATAGGCAATGTATATGACACGTATTTATGAAGTGGGAATTTTTACTATAGTGTAGCCTGGGAAGGCTAGAATTATGTCTGTATTGGGCATAATTGAATTCTTAGGAGTGGAGATAATTATTTCCAGAGGTATTATAAGACTTTACACCTTTCCCTTAACATCATATTAGGTGGGGGCCAAATTTCATCATTTGACCATGACCAAAGAAGGCCTATCTTGGCGATTAGAATCCAAGAAACTTCGCCAGGTACAGAATGGCTAGTACTTCTCATTCACTTAGTCCAAATGGGATAGTACTATCCATGCAGAGACCAGCATATCACAATAGAAGGAATTTGCTTTAATCTGGTTAGCATTCAGCCTGACACACAAGTTTCCCTGAATGTGGTACACTTAAATGTAAGAGAAGAAAGAGCTATGTAAATATTGAATGATGTGTATTTTTTTTTAATCTTGGCAAGCTTCTAAAATAAAACTTAGAGATATAAATGGTGCTAGGAATATGCCTGCTGATTGCTCTTCTTGAGACTGGGACAGATGAGAGAGCATTGCTATTGAGAACTCATGATGCCCACCCCATAGTCCACAAATGGCTCAAGCAACATCTTATCTAGAAAATATGAAGTACCTGCATCCAGAGCAAATCTTAAAGCTGGAGAGTGACGTGCTCTAGAGTGCTACCAAGTGTGAGAGTATGAATTTGGACTCAGCACCCATGTAGGGGAAGGGGGAGGCTGGTTGCTAGGAAGGCAGGCATGGGCAGACTCTTGGAGCTTGAAGAGTGGCTGGCCTAGCCAAATGATGAGCTCCCAGTTCAGTGAGAATGCCTGCCTCACTGAAGGAGATTACAGTTAACTGAGGGAGGCACTTGGTGTCAATTTCTGACCTCTGCACACACATGTCTGTTCATAACATCTGGTGATGGTGTTCTTACAGATGTAAAGCTAAGGCCGAGAGGTCAACTCAAGTGTCTGCTGAAACTGCAGTTTCAGCCATTATTGGGAACTCAGCAGTCACTGGCCCACCACAGCAGGACTTTTATGACCCCTCTTGCTGCTGCCACCAAATGTGGTTTTTAACTAAATCTCCATTGTTCTGTTTACCAGAAAGACTCAGGAGTCAGAGGCTGGGATGCAAACCAGCTAGCTCAGAGAAGTTGAAGAGCAATTAGCCAACCTTCCCTTTTAGCCAGTGTCTCTGAAATAGATCTCCAGGCTCTACCTCAAAGTCCCATCCTACTACTTCTTCCTCTTCCAGGTTCCCTCTGACTCTGTGATTACTTTCTGTCAACTAGTTGCTGGCTCCACCTCCTGACCCAAGGTTGCTTTTACTTCACAATGTGATTGGATATCCCACAACATACAGGGGCTAAATAATGACAGACCTTAAACCTGGCCTTCTCATCAAGTAGATGTGAGACATTTCTCAGACCTGAAACATGGTCTCTGTTGTTTTACTGTGTGAGTGAAGAGGGCGTCCTACCTTAGGAAATAGAGAGAGTGGGCTATATGCATGCAGGGGCCACCTCTCCAAAAACCACTGGGCATTTTCAAGTATGGGTGTAGGAGGCACATTTGTGTCTGGCCAGTGGCATGCTGCCTGACTCACTGTGCCATTTCATCTGTTATTGAGAAGCATCAGTTTGATTAGGCACAGCAGTAGGAATATTCCCACATTGGTGTTGAGAGCCTGGCCTTCTATTCCAATGCTACCTGCCTACCTCTTTCTATCAGTGTCCTCTTAGGGCTAATCACAACTAACTCAGAGAGTTGTTAGATTTAAACACAGTAACATACTGCACACCTAGCTCAGTTCTTGTTCCATTAATGACAGCCCGAGTGCCTTCCTTTGTAAAATGGAAATATTACCAGGGGCTTGTGCTTCAAATCGATAACCTCGATTTAAGAGATACAAATAGAGCATACAGATGGAAAGCCTCTGGTTTTGTATGGGCAGTATAATATTCGGCATCTGAATGAAATCTAGCTGTCTGCTGGTAGAAACCCATCCAAAAATACTTCATGGAAGACCTGCCAAGCTCTGTAAATACATAATTGAGTGAGACAATGTCTCTAAGTTTGTCTTGTATTGGAGCTGGGAGACTAATATCTGTGGACTAGTAAGAGTCATGGAAGGGGGCTGGAAAGGCCTTCAGGTTTTTAAGTTCTGGCCCCAGTGTGGTTGTTTGAGAGGGGTTGGTTGGAGGTGATGATCCTAGAGTTTCCATAATAGCATCGTTGTTAAGGGGTTGGGCTTCGACAGCCACCTGGTTCTGTTATCTAAGAGACCATCTGTGAACCAAAGAGCAGGCTCTCCCAGGCACTGAATTCACCTTGGGGCCTGCTGATTATGAGAAATAAGTTTGTTAAGTCTTGATCTTATTATAGCAGCTTGAGCATGTTGAAGAGAGGTTAGTGGTTAAAATTGTGATAAAGAACCAGAGGTTATGGTGATCAGCTAGGACTTAGGAAGGCCAGGGAAAGAAGAACTGAACACGATGGCTGTGCTTATGATTCTGAGAATTAGCGGGATGTGGGTCTTCGGGATATAAACCATGGTAAAGATTTGGACTTGCACACGCCTTTAAACCCAGCACCCCGGAGGCAGAGGCAAGCACAGGCAGATCTCTGAGTTTGAAGCCAGCTTGGTCTGCGGCGTAGTAAGTTCCTGATCAGCTGTAGCTGCATATTAAGACCCAATTCCAAAAAGGAAGAAAGAAAGAAATGAATTTGGATTTGGTTCTAAATGCTTTGGAAGCCATTTAAGGATTCTGAATAGAGAGGTAGTGTGTGGTTTATATTTTGAAGTGATTGCCTGGCTGAACTGTACAGAATGGCCTGTTCTGGGTGCAGGACTACATCTGGCCAGAAGCCATGGCACTTGTGCTCCAGTCTGGGCTGGCAGCCATTGAAGTAGCGAGGCTCTGCAGGCAGAGTAGAGGTAAGATGTGGGGAGTATAGCAAGAGGGAAAGGGTGGTTTCTGTGTATCACTTCCAATCCCAAAGGTGCTGAGGAGGAATCCTTTCCAAACAAAAGCAAGGATAATAAATACAAGATTCCTTCTGCTGATACATTTGTGATTAGGGGCTAAAGCATGAGGTATGAGGGGCTCCTTTACTGTGGTAACAAGGTAGCTGTTTAATGCTTCTGCGTTTGGGGCCCAGTTGTCTCCATTATCTTAATGGTTCCTTTATGTGTTCATGCCCCAAGAAGCAGCAATGGGTGGAGTCAGGCCATAGATTAATATCTGGCATTGTCCAGGAAGACTTCAGGGGAACATTGTCTAGCTTCAGCCATGGACTGGTGGGTGCTTGGCTGTACAGACAGCAAAGCAAACCTTTGGCATCCAGAGAGGTGGGTATTTGGAAAGCTGCTTCAGGGATCTGTAATGCCCCTGACTAGTTTCTACTCTGGGAGATTAGGGAATAATGTTAATCATGTTAGAGTGATAGTGAGGGACTATGGTCCCACTGCAGGTCACTAGTTGACTTCAGATAGTGGTAGTAAGGCAGGTAAAGATGTCCTGGTTTGGAAGATGGCCTTTAAACCTCTCCTTTGGGCTGTCTCAAGCATGGTTGGCATAGTTCTTCTGTAGGATTATCCTAAGCTTTGCAGTACAGAGAATGCACCCTCATCCCCTCCTTACAAAGGGCTGATAGTACCTCCTCCCCTGACCCTGTGGAAGCCACATGTATTGTATAATATCAACTGTCCCTAGGAAAGCTATTTCATATTTCATTAAAAACCCCTCAGGCCACTGACTGAGAGATTGCCTGATGAAGAGGGGTAAAATACCCCTCATTGGTGGGGGGGGGGGAGCAAGGAAATGGGGGACCCGAGTTGCCTAGAGGAAGTTACGTTTGG